GCTACCCCTGGAGTTTGGAGAATTATTCCCCTGACTCAGGGAGAGATTGTGACTAGAAGGCCTCTCCCTGCCCAGCACTGAAGGGTCCTGAGTGCAGAGAAAGCACCAGGCAGTGAGGACCATGATACTCATCCCCTGATGAGTTTAGGGTAAATAATTCCTAAATTTTGATAATTTGGTGACAAGGGGCGTACGTGTGATCTAATCTGGCTCCTGTTACAACGAAGGACCTGTGCCCCAGCGACTGCCCTGAGAGTCTAACTCAGCCCCAGGAAAGCAGCACAGGCACTGGATTAGCACACAGCGTCCAACCAGCAATTCCAGGCCTGCCCATCAGTAGCAACAGTGAGCACTTCCACTGGGGCAGGGCTTGATCTGTGGCCTCCTGAGCTCAGTAGAAATCTTTTTACTTACCTCACAGGGAGCAAGATCAGGCCACATGTGTACAGGAGCTGTGAACTAACCTATGCTAGGGGTCAGCAACCCCCGGCATATGTGCCAGAGCATGGCATGCAAGACCATTTTCCTTGGCACATCACAATCAAGCCAAGGACTCTGGGCAGCTGCTGCCAAGCACAAAGCGTGGCACTGACTCCATAGCAGCGGCAGCACATGTCCAGACAAATGGCAGGGAAGAGGCCCAGGGCAGCGCAGGTGGCAGGAAAGCTACAAACAGCTGTACTGGGGTGCAGAGCCCTAGTTCAGCTCCCCTGCCAAGCTAGTAACTAGTCCCTGCTCCCCCTCGCTTCTGGGAAACTGACAGAAAAGCAGGACACAGCTGGGAGGAGGGAGGCAGACAGCAGACACCTGCTGCCCTGCCCTGTCCATCATGGGTGCCTGGGCAGGGGCTGGCCCCCTGTCTGGGAGTGCTCTGCCTCAGAGAGCTCTGGAGGCAGTGGGCAACCAGGGACCTGCACCCTATGAGGAGGGAGGCATTGCCACCATGGTGGTGTTGCCCCACTGAGCTGGGAACCCCCTGGGGAAGGTGCCACCAGCTGCCGAGGCTGTCCCCGCAACTGCCAAGGTGCTGCCACAGGCACCACAAATCCCCTCCAGGCCATTTTAAAATGACAGAATGGCAGAGGCAAGCATCTCTTTCTCTCCCCTTCCTTACGCCTGTTTGCAGCAGGCAGCTGTGAGGCTGCAAGCAGCTGGACTGGGGCCCGGAGTGGCTCCTTCCTGGTAGCGTCTACATGCATACCTTGGGTAGCAGGGCAGGGAAGGAGCCAGGGCTGCAGTGCCACAGTAAGGATTGTGTCCCTTGCGGCTCCCCCGCTGTCCACCCCATCACACCAACATCTTCCAAGTCCACGTTGTACTTTTTTTGGCATTTGGCCCAAAACTGCTGCCAACCTCCGGCCTATGCTAAGCTTCAGGCTGCAGTTGGCTGACCAACACTGCCTGCGCGTCTCTACACCCTTCTGCTTTTGCTATTGTTTTCCGTGTCAAGTCCCCTGACTCAGCATTGGCGATGCTGTGGTACTTCCCTATTTTTCTGTCATCCTGGGGGAGGCACCATAAATTACAGTTTCTTGGAGCAAGAAACTGTAATTAAGTCCTGGGATCTACAAGAGGGAAGATGTTCTTAATTTAGTCTGAAGTAGTGCACAGGATTTGGTATCAAGGGTAGTTGCTGAGCCACTCTGTAACAGTGACAATAATGTAACTGGGTTTGACATTCTTGTAGGAAGGAGAAAACAAAAATGAAAACAAAATCTAACACAGGAAATTTTAGCATTCAAAACGAGAACTATGCAAAAATGAGGAACCTAGTTAAACACAAGGTTAAAAGGGCCATCAAATCAGGGTACAAACAGCATGGAAACTGCTGAAGAACATCATATTGGGGGCAGAACGCAAGTGCCTTCCACAAATCAAGAAACAAGGAAAGCAGACCAAAAAGAAGCCAGCATGGTTAAATAGTAGAGTAGTGAAGATTATGAAAGGAAAAAAGGCCTCCTTTAAAAAATGCAAGTCATAGAATCATTGAATCATAGAAAATTAGGGTTGGGAGGGACCTCAGGAGGTCATCTAGTTCAAACCCCTGCTCAAAGCAGGACCGTCCCTAAGTAGATCATCCCAGCCAGGGCTTTGTCTAGCTGGATCTTGAAAACCTCCAAGGATGAAGATTCCTCCACCTCTCTGGGTAACCTGTTCCAGTGTTTTATTACCCTCCTAGGGAGAAAATTCTGCCTAATATCTCAACTAAACTTCCCTTGCTGCAACTTGAGACCTTTGCTCCTTGTTCTGTCACCTGCCACCACTAATAACAGTCCAGCTCCATCCTCTTTCAAACCTCCCTTCAGGTAGTTGAAGTCTGCTATTAAATCCCCTCTCAGTCTTCTCTTCTCCAAACTAAATAAGCCAAGTTCCCTCAGCCTTTCCTCATAAGTCATGTGCCCCAGCCCCCTACCATTTTGAATGCCCTCCGCTGAACTCTGTGCAATTAGTCCACATCCTTTCTGTAGTGGGGGGCCCAAAAGTGGACACAGTACTCCAGATGTGGCCTCACAGTGCTGAATAGAGGGGAATAATAATTTCCTTCGATCTGCTGGAAACGCTCCTACTAATGCATCCCAGTATGCCATTAGCCTTCCTGGCAACAAGGGCACACTCTTGGCTCAGATTCAGCAGGGCTGTGCAAAGCGTCGGGTGCTGATTCAATTTGGAGGAGATTCAGCCCAATTCAGTGGCCGAATCTCCAAGTCCAAATTGAATCAAGGGACTAAGAAAAAGATCCAAATCAATTTGAAGCTCACAGAGAGCCTTGATGATTTGGGCAGTCCCCAGTTGCTGCAGCTGGGAGCTGGAGCTGG